GTAGAGATGAGGTCTCACTATATTGCCCAGGCTGGTCTCGAACTCCTGGGCTCAATCAAGTCAAACCCAAGTCTTTACAGTGGTCCATTACTCTTCTTGTCCCTCTGACTTCAGTATAGGCACTGCCTCCTCTGGGAGGCCTTTGCTGACCCAAAAGACTCAGCCTCTTGTGCTCCCTAAGCTTTCCTGAGAGCATTTAGCTTCATTAGTAATTAAACTTTCATTAGTGAAATGATTTGATTAATGGTTGTCATTCCCAGATTCAAATTCTAAATTTTTTTTTTTTTTGAGACCCAGTCTCTTTTTTTTTTGAGAGTCTCACTCTGTCGCCCAGTCTGGAGTGCAGTGACATGATCTCAGCTCACAGTGACCTCCACCTCCCAGGTTCAAATGATTCTTGTGCCTCAGCTTCCAGAGTAGCTGGGACGACAGGCGTGCGCCACCACACCTGGCAAATGTTTTGTATTTTAGTAGAGATGGGGTTTCTACCATGTTGGCCAGGCTGGTCTCAAACTCCTGAGATCAGGTGATCCGCCTGCCTCGGTCTCTCAAAGTGCTGAGATTACCGGCGTGAGCCACTGTGCCTGGCTTCTAAACTCTTGTGGCCCTGTCATTCACCCAGCACTCAAAAGGCTGTCCCACTTGCCCTTTTGGGAGCTGGGAGGGACAGCTCAAATCATCCCCTCCCTGTACTCCTCTGACAGGGTTGGTGGATGCAGTCAGCTCCAGTCCCCACGCCCAGCACTGAGGCAGGCCTGATGCACGCTGCCTCAACAGCTCAACCAGGAGTGGACAGCTGCACATCTAGGGTGCCCACCTCAGTCCCAGGCCTCAGCAGAGCCCATCTTGCCCCACTCTGCACAGCATTGAGCCTGTGGCTGGTGATGAGTGAAACCTGGTGTGGGACTCTAGTGCCTCCCTTCAACCTGCAATATACACGTCAGGGCTTATGGCAGCAAAGGAAGGTCTTTATTCAGGAGGCGGGGGCTCTGGGCTGGCAGTCAGGGATGTAGGGGGACCCTGGCGGTAGGCACCCAGCAGGATAGCATTGATGTGCTCCAGGGTCTGGTTGCTGAAGACCATGTTGAGATGCTGTATCCCACGCAGGGGCAGCAGGTGCACGGGCTGCGGCTGGCGGCCCTGCCAGAGGCCACAGAGCTCAGTGCTGCGCGTGGCCACTGTGTCGTCACCGTCCTCATAGAGCACGTCCACAGGGTCCGTGTAGGGGAAGCCGTGGTCATAGATGTAGGTGCGGGGTGTGGGCAGGCCCACGCCATAAAGACAGTATACTTCCACGCCAGGCGCTGGGAGGCCTGCCAGGAGGTCACGTGACTGCAGCCACATGTACCAGCCTTCCTCAAAGTGCAGGTCTGCAAAGAAGCGCTGGAAGTCACGGCCTGTGTAGTTGAAGCTGGGGGTGGAAATGAACACGTGGTCCTCAGGCCAAGCCATGCGAGAGGGAAACATCCAGGGGGAGGTGGTTGTTATGCGCTGCTCCTCTTTCAGCTTGATGCTGGACATGATGGGGATGCCCTGGTTGTCACCTGTGGATAGGGAGCAAGATGGGACAGGGAGCCAGGCCTGGCTACCCCTGGCCCACAACCTGCTGAGTGTAGGCTCAGCCAGATGCTCACTCTTGCCCCTGCCCAATCTAGACATAGACTCTAAGCCACAGGCTTGAGAAGGCCTGATATTCAATGATGCTCAGTGTCGGCTTACTCAGTGAGAAGCTGTTGGGCGGAGCTGTAGGGCTTCAAAAGAAGGGCAGGGGCAGGCACCATGGCTCACTCCTGTAATCCCAACACTTTGGGAGGCTGAGGCAGGAGGATCACTTGAGGCCAGGAGTCCAAGACCAGCCTAGGCAATGCAGTGAGACCCTGTCTCTACAAAAAAAAAAAAAAAAAAAAAAATCAGCTGGGCATACTGGATTGCACCTCTAGTCCTTAGCTACTCAAAAGGCAAAGGCAGGAAGATTGCTTGACCCTAGGAATTTAAGGTTACAGTAACTATGATCATGTCACTGCACTGTAGCCTGGGTGACAGGACGAGATCCCAGCCTAAAAATAAATAGGGCTGGTTAATGTTGGCTCACGCCTGTAATCCCAGCACTTTGGGAGGCCGAGGCAGGCAGTTGACTTGAGGTCAGGAGTTCAAGACCAGCCTGGCCAACATGGGGAAGCCCCGTCTCTACTAAAAATACAAAAATTAGCCAGGCATGGTGGCACATGCCTGTGATCCTAGCTACTAGGGAGGCTGAGGCAAGAGAATCACTTGAACCTGGGAGGCGGAGGTTGCAGTGAGCGGAGATTGCACTACTGCATTCCAGCCTGGGAAACAGAGCGAGACTCCATCTCAAAATAAATAAACAAGTATTTTGTAAAAGGCCCAGCACAGTGGCTCACGCCTGTAATCCCAGCACTTTGGGAGGCTGAGGCAGGAAATCACTTAAGCTCAGGAGTTTGAGACCAGCCTGGGCAACATAGCAAGACTTTGTTTCTACTAAAAAATAAAAATAAATTAGGTGTGGTGGTGCGTGCCTATCGTCTCAGCTACCCAGGAGGCTGAGGCAGGAGGGTTGCTTGGGCCAGGGAGATTGAGGCTGCGGCTGTGATCGTGCCACTGCACTCCAGCCTGGGCAAGAGTGAGACCCTGTCTCAAAAAAAAAAAAAAAAAAATATGTAGGCGGGGCTTCCTGAGGACGGGGTGTGTGGGGATGGTGTGGGTGAGGCCCGGGATGTGTGGGGATGGTCAGGGCGGTGCTGGCTGTCTTCCCTTGGGCATGTGTCTCTCTGCTTCTTATGTGGCTTGTGCTGCATTGGGGGCCACAGAGTTGTGCTCCAGAAAGGGAGAAACAAGATGGTGTCTGTTTGGCATTTATTGGTGGTGTCTGATGAGTGTTTCTCTGTCCAGACTGTGTTTCTCTCTCCAGACCAGCTCCCACGGTACAGGGGGTGGGGAGTAGGTGGTAGCTGTGTCAGTGCTGGGCCCTGGTGCCACTCCCTAGGGAAGGGCAGGCGGGGCTCCGGGGGGTCTGGCCCTAGCTCTGGCAGACCCATCCTCAGTAAAGCACATCCCTCGGCAAAGGCGCTCCTGCGAGCAAGCGGAAGGCAGGCAAGGGTTGGGTAGGCAGGCTCTGGGGCTACAAGGAACAAACCTGGGGGCAGATAGCTGGAGTTCACTTTCTGTTTTCACCGCCCTTTTGCCATCACTGACACAGACTCTGGAAGGAGCCACCCTAATTGCTCAGGCCAGGGTCACTGCTCTGGAGGCCAGTGACAGCGAGCATGCCTGCCCAGGGGTGGTAGATGGCACCCCCAGAGGCCACCGTGAGCAGGAGCCGCAATGAAGGCAGGCCCAGGATCAGCTTCGTCTCACCCATCGCTGGGCCTAAGTGGTCGAGGCCTTCTCACCTGAGGCCAAGACCAGCATGGGCTTGATGGAGCCGCCCCAGGGAGCCCCAAGAGAGATGAAGCCATCGATGAAGCGGTCCTTCCAGGCCTGG